TTTTAATAAATTTTTTTTACATATTATTAATTTTTACATTAAATTTTATCAATTTATCGATTTAAATTTTTTATTAAAGTTTTATTTACTCATTTCTAAGATGAAACTTTACAACTTTACCTATAAAATTTAATATAAGTTTTATCCTTCATATGCAACCACAATTTATTCTTTAGACATTTTATTGAGGTCACTAGTCACTTTATCTTCTCAATTCCCCAAAAATTATCCAGCTAAGTAATGGAGGAAGGGAAGCTTTCCTTGTTCTAATTAATATTGAAGTCATGAGCTACAATTTATTTGCTTTTCATTCAATTTAGTTATCTGTCAATTGCATTTGGTTGGTTAAGTTTGGTAGGAGCTTATAAATATATACTTGATGTTGGTAGGAGCTTACAAATATATATATATATATATATATTTGATGTTATAAAAATTTTAATTTGAATTTAAAAATTTAACATTTGTATATTCTGCAAATAGATTATACTACTGATAAGTTGATTAAAGGTTTTAAACCCATGAACTTTACTCGAATTTTAGTTTGTTATTACAGATTTTATTTATTACATATGTCTTAACTCTCAGTTATTACCTCTAAGGTAAAAGCATATTTGAAAATGATCATAATTGTTTGCTTTAGATATCAAATCCATATACCCTTATATATAAAAAACAAAGTCTCTTAAGTCATTTTATTAAGACGTGTTTTTTTTTTCTTTCTATAATGCTGTGTCGTTTAAGTTAGGGAGGGGGTTTCTGTTGGTTGGAGACAATTTGGTTGGGGGAAAGTTTCGACTGTTTAGAGTGTATGGTAGAAGTTTTTTTCTGCTTCTTACATGTGTTTCTTTTTCTTCTTACAGGTATCTATGGTGTTATTTTTTGTTTAACAATTGTCTTTGACTGCAATAGGTTTGTTTAAAGTTAAGTTTTGAAGTTGTTACATTTGGTTTGGCTATTGATTTTTGTTTTTTATCTTTCCATCTTTTTTTTTTTCTCTCATTTTTTTTGCTAAAATTTGTTCTTTGTTTTGTTGATTTTGATGTTATATATTTTTATGTTGATCGAGATTTAGGTTTTGTGATTCTTGAGGTTGTATGTTGTTCTTAATGTGTTTTTTTTTTTTTAGTTATTTATCTTTGCATGCTCTGATCTTGGTTGAAACTTGGATTATTTTTTTATTTTTGGGTTTTCATTGTTATTTTAGATTTTTACTGTTTTTGAGTAAAATATGTATTTTGGATAAAATGTAAAGCTTGAATTGTTTGTATTTATAATCAGAAGATCATGGTAGTATATGAATAATGTTAATATTTGGATATCTCTGTTTTGCTTGTCATGATATCAAATAAAAAAAAAATTGCTTTTACAAAAAGAGGTCAAAAGAAATTCCTTCCCTTGATATCATAAAAAATGCTGTCACTATCTTCTCCATTATTTGTTATCTATGCAGTTATTATAACACAAAAAGTGACAAAGACTCTACTACTATCTTTCCTATTGTTTGCTATTTTTATAACATAAAAAGTAATTACAACCAAGACATTTGAAGTCGAATAAACCCAAACATCCACAGCCCATAAAATAGTCTTAAACATCATTGGCTCAAAAACAAAAACAGATGTTAAATTAATAAACAGTTTGGGATTGTTTTCATTTTCTTATTAGATAATCTATTTTGGTTTTGTCTGCAAGATTAGTGGATTGCCATAATATTTCATATATGTGAGACTAACAAGTTTTAAAAAATAATCATGTTTAATGTAAATAGTATAGATGGTTAGTGAATAATGATTGCAAAATAAATTTTCAAGTTTAAGGAGGAAAACAATGCCTACAATGCCAGGTTTCGACTTCATTTTCAATGCATAAAAACTTACAATTTTGTCAATGGATTTGTTTATAGTTTGAAGGTTTTGATCTAGATATATGATTGTATGTGTATTCATTTGTTAATAGTTTTGGTGGTTTAATATGAGAATTTGTCACTTTCATGATTAAGATTTAAGATGTATGTTGATCTTGATTAAGACAAACCATGTTACTTTAATCATATAAAATATTTGTATTACTACTTACTGTTATTTTTTTTTCTTCCACATCTCATTATTGTTACTATGTGAATTTATAGTATTGAATTTCTTTTAAAGGTTATTTAAAATCTGATGAGTTATTACGAAGATCGTTAATATCTCAATCATTAGATTGTAGGTGTAGTGGATTTTTTTAATATTATGAACAATATATATAAACTATTTTATATGAATAATTTTTTATTAAAATTAACAGTTTATTTACTATACATTTTTTTAACATATATTACTATTGAATTATGTTGTTCATTAATCATTCAATTTATTTATTTTTTGTTTGGTTAATGGCTATTGATAAGAATTTTTATTTTTTTGTAGGTTCTATTATAATTGAGAGGTTGTTTTCATGTGAGGTGAATTTTAGGATTTGGTTTTGTTATTTGTAATGTTGTTTGTTATGCTTAATAACAGAAGATGTGCATTTATAATTAGGTTACATGTAGCGTTAAATTTCTTTTTAGAGTTATTTAAAATTTGATGAGATATTATAGAGATTGTTTATATCTTTATTAGATTATAGGTTTATTGGATTCTTTTTATATTATAAATGGTATATATAGACTAATTTGTATAAATAACTTTTGGTTAAAATTAAAAGGTTACTTAATATTCATTTTTTTTATATTAATTTTTGTTAAATTATGTTGTTCATTGATCATTTTATTTATTTTCTGTGTTTAGTCAATGGCTGTTGATAGAGTTTTCTATTTTTTTGCAGGATATGGGCAACGCTGCAGTTAATTCATCATCACCCAACTTGGACTTTGCAAGCCATCATCAAGTTGAGCTCGACAGTTCTAAAACAATCAGTCAGTTCCCACCATGTGATATATCATTCAGCGACTACACCCCCTGCCAAGATAAAGTGAGGGGAAGGAAATTTGATCATAACATGATGAAATATAGAGAGCGGCATTGTCCCACGAAGGAAGAACTCTTCCTCTGTCGTATACTTGCTCCTCCAAAATATAAGACCCCTTCTAAATGGCTTCAGAGCCGAGATAATGCCTGGTATGACAACATCCCTCATAGAGAACTTAGCATTGAGAAGGCCATTCAGAATTGGATTCACGTGGAGGGTGATCGTTTCGGATTCCCTGGGGGAGGCACCATGTTCCCTCAGGGAGCTGATGCATATAGCGATGACATTGGCAAGCTCATTCCCCTTGCTGATGGAACCATCAAAACAACAGTTGATACCGACTGTGGGGTAAGTAATGAACATTATCTTCAATTTATTTGCTCGTATCTTTTCGCATCTTTTAGGATTTGTTGCTATCTAATTGGCTTATAAACTTTTTGAAGTCATGAATTCTTTGTCTCCTGTGCCATTACAAAGACCGTATCAACTTTTGGTCTATGATAATAACTGGTATTCCTATGGTCTACTAATTGCCTTCGATAATTCTTTTCTTCTTTTCTCTGGTGTTAGGTTGCAAGTTTCGGTGCTTACCTCTTAAAGAGGAATGTCTTGACAATATCTTTTGCTCCAAGAGATACATATGAAGCATAGGTCCAGTTTGCGCTGGAACATGGAGTTCCTGCAATGATTGGAATCATGGGTTCAAAGAGGCTTCCTTACCCAGCAAGGGCTTTTGACTTGGCTCATTGTTCTCGTTGTTTGATCCCTTGGCAAAACCATGGTAAGGCATCTTTACCATTTCACTCCATTTAAATTACAATTATTATATTTTGTATTCCAAGTTACAACACTCAATTTAACTGTACAAAATATGAAGAAGATGGCTACTCTAATAGTCCTACTTTTCATTGCTCGATGATCAATGCAAACATCAATGGTCATCCTATCTTGATAAACAATTATACAAATATTATAACAATATTACATAACGAAGCATATATTCAAAATATCTATTAACAAATTTTCATTACATTTTTTCTACAGCATATTCTTAAGAGTTTTCACAAACATCTATAAGACAAAAATTATTTTATCACTTTGTTAATTCTTCATATAAATAAATCTTGGACCATTCAATATAATAGCAAAAACAAATCATTCTTAGGAGGATGTAAAAAATTCATTACTGATAATCACTTGAAAATTAATGACTACTGCTTATTTACTATGATAGCACATAATACTTTTTGAATAATTATCTATCTTAATTATGAATAAATTATTTAATTATACATTTTCTCTTAAATTGATTACCTTTATATTTGCTATAACAATAAACATTAGTATTCAATTTTATATTAAATTTCAGTTACTAAATTTAGAATAAATTATTTCAGACAAATAAAATATAAAAAATTAACTTAACACATTAAGGGAAGCCAAGTTCGCTCACTAGTTAATATTAACAAGTATCATTTTTGGGATAATTTTTGAATGGATGGTCTAAAATCTTGGCATCAAGATTAATTCATTTATTTATATTATGTTCAAATAAATATATAATTAATATAATTATTATTGTGTCAATGGCTTCCGATCTAAAATTTTATTTTCAAGCTAGATATGATCCAATTGAATAATTCTACTCAAAAATATAAATGTTTACAAGTTAAATCGAATCAAATTTAGATCGAACTCATATTTGATATTAATAATTTATATATTTATTTATGTTCGATTGAATTTTATATTTTTGACATCAAAATTTTTTAAAATTTAATCTAAATTAAAAAAATAAATTTTAAACATATCTATTAAATTTAATTTATATAATAAAAAATTAAAATATAAAAATAAAAATTTATATATACACACTTATATAATTATAATATTTTAATTATATATTTTATTTTAATTATGCTCAAATTTTAATTATTTTATTCAAGCTCAAAATTTAAATGAATCTAAAAATTATATATAAATTTATTTAATAAATTTTAAATTTTTATTCAAATTCTTAAAAATATTAAACGAACCTTTAAATTTGTATGGATAACTTAATCCTTAAATTAATATAGTCATGAACATCATGAGCAGTAACAATTACAAAGAAGAATGCCATTAGCGCTGTAAAAGTAAAAAGAGTGTAGTAAAATAGAAAATTTATCAACCACTTTGAATCCCGAAAAAAGCGGAGTCTCCGACTCACCTGGTGGTGCCGTTGCTCTAAAGTTGTCTTGTCTCCAGGCGGCGAGTTTCGAACCTCACCCTTAAAAAAATCTCTACGAAAACGTATGACTGTTTTGTTTTTCTTTTGTTAGGTCGAAATAGATGAATAGGGCAATAAAAGCAGCCGTTTTGAACCCGCAAAGCAACTATCTTTTCCAAAGGGCTTCCTTCTTCCATTCCACTCCCGTCCTTGAATACAAAAGACGAAAGCATTGGCAATTTGTAAGCTTTCTTTTTTTTTTTTTTTGGTTGATTGAAACAGATTTTTGTACTTTTGAACATGTTTCCTTCCATGGGTTTTGTTTGCTTTGTGAAAATTTGCTGTATTTTTATGATTTATGGTGTCTTAGATTAGATAATTTGGAAAAAATAATGTTTATCAAAAAAAATTTTGAAGCTGTTTCTCTCCTCATTTTGGAGCCTTTTTGCTATCTGGGGTTGCATATAATATGTAAATGAAGACATTGGAGTCTTGGTGCACTTTTTTTTTTTTTTGTATCTATGATTTTTTTAGTGATTGAATATATTAGAAATTGGAATGGTAAAGAATGTTAATATTATGAAAAATACAGGCAGCCTGTGAATTTGATTCCATATTTAATTGATTAGTTTTTAATTTGAGATTATTAAGTTCAAAATGCTTAATTTTCATTTAGTGCAAATGGCAAGTTCTGAATTTGGGTTGAATTTCGAATGGTTAGATGTCTCGGTACTCATTGATGACATTTATTTGACTTTAATTGCTAGATTTTTTGTTTATGTTTTTTTTTTTCTAGAAAGTATTTAGTATGCCAATTTCTTATGTTTATAATGCTCTCTTGATTAAATGTATGAATATGTATCTAGAAAGTGAAAACTAGCAGTCATAGGTTTTTTATCTGCAGTGGAAAAACAGTTGTAATTCAAGATCTATTAGGAGAATGAGTTGAGGTTTTAAGAAAAACTTCTTTTGCCTAAGATATGATACTGGATGAAGCTATTGAAAGAAGCTAGGTATAATGGGATTGTTGTTGGTTGCTTTCTGCCAATTCTTGTACTCCGTTAGGAGTATTTATTTTCTTTTGGTTAATTATTCCACCCACCTAGGCAGAAAATTCATGTGAAATTCGTTTTTGTTAGTTTTTATACTTATCATCTAACTTGCAATACTTTAAAATTTCTTTTATTCTTTGCAAATTTTGAATGATAATTCATGTAGTTCTTGTAATTTTTTTGTTTGCAGGTTAAGAGACCCAGAAGGCTTCATGCAGAGCAAGAATTATTGCGCAATATCGGTGCTTACGCAGACTACATATTTGAGGTTTCTGTTCATGTTGATTACTTGTTTATCTAGTTTAGGGTGAAATTCAAATAAAACCTGTACGCTTATGGTAAAGCATACATAATCTTGTGGGTTCAAAAGTTGCATTATGGAGAATTTGTATTGAGTGGCCTGTATCATGATCTTAGTAGCCCTATGATAGTCAGTCACGTGCCATTCCATTCCTGAGGGGACCTATCCTACATTTTGGGATTCCCATGCACATATATGGGTGCAGATCCTGCAGGACCTGCCAATCACATATAATGCACGGGATCAACACACGCTGTGGTGACCTTCACCTGACTCCTATATTTCTCTTAGAACTGTGTCAAAGTTATCCATTCACACATTTGAATTGGAACTACTACTTAATGTAGTCAAGACCTATATCTATGAACTTAATAGTTGGTCAAAATCTGGTAATTTAAGATGATGATATTGCTACTTTCCGAATGATGAGCATTTTGGATAGCTTTGAATGAGGATGCTATGTTACTGAAAAGGGAAATAAAGTCTGGCATGTTGAATCAAATTTTAGTTGATTTTTTTTTATGGAATCAATCAAAGTTGGTTTTGTCCTTTTTCAACTAAAAATCAGCATAAGAATTCTTGTTAAGCTTTGTAGGAAAGGTTGAAGGTCAGATTTTTTAAAATTGTCATAAGATGTTTAATTCTAAATGCAAAAGCTGGAAAAAATGATTTTTAATGCTCTAGGTTGTGCTAGTAATACATATTGCCAAAAATTTTCTTCAAACATTAGAAATATTTGTACATTTAACTTTTTAGTATATTATTGCTTTTATTATATCTTTGATTGAAAGGATTTCAACTGTGCTTTGGTCATTCTGTTTTCAGAACTGGAAAGATGAGTTTCATGACGATGATGCAACATCAAATGGAGGCCCCTCATGGTTCAAAAAGCAGAACAGTAGGGGATCCAGAAGAGATTGGCCTGGCTATAGAGGATTTCAGTACAGGGGTAGAAGTAAGGATGTGAAGTACCTGGGTTTATGATATGTTAATCTTTTAAAACTTGTCATTTTCACACCTCTAAATTTATTACACAAATATGAAATCATGCCCATCTAAAGGGGCCTTTAGATTGAATTTTGTTCATATTTTTCCAGGGAGTGGCCTTTTGAAACCTTAGTTCTTGGGCTGCATTACTTTAATAATGGTCATTCAGTGTTGGATGTGACGCTCATTGCTCCATTCTGAGCATCTCATAAACCTTCAATAACTGCACAACAATTTATGCCCTTATTCTGAAAGTTTTTTGAAATTTCATTAGGGGGTTATAGCATATTGCATGTTCTAGCATGTTATTCTCCTGGATTAAGGGCCAAAACTTCTCGTTTTAAACACTTGATCAGGACCTTTTGAGTTTTGTGAAGACAGTGATGATAACATTGAGAACATGTTTAGGTCTGCATTTCGTGGAAGCCAGTTCTTTTATTGGTCCTTCATTAATGAGGAGAATCCTCAATGGAGGAGCTCATCCAGATACTCAAATAACTATGAGAAATCTTGGAACTGGAGATATAGATTTGATGAGGATTCTGATTCTGACTCGTCAACCAAATCAGATACTTCAGAGAGTTCAGACCAAGATATGGTTGCAGACAGGCAGGCCCTTGGCCTAAGTGCATCTGGTTCTCTAACACTTGAAGACGTTAAAAATGCGTGAGTTCTTTGTTGTGTTTCTCAAATACTCTTTTATTTTTTTGTTATTTCTTTTTGGGTGCATACAGTAACCTTGTAAATTGTTTCTGTTGTTAAAAGCACCATGGCTGCTTTTAAAGGATATTTCTTTATGTTGACTAATTGATTTCATTCTCTAATTTTTAGATATAGGGCCTGTGCACTGAAATGGCATCCAGATCATCATCATGGCTCTTCGAAGGTATCAACATACCCCATTCATCAGGGTACTTTATTGTTCTGCTTAGAATACTGGACTGATTTGATTGTTTTGCGGAAGATTCAGGATTGTCCTTTTATAAGGAAAAAACTGTTATAATATTTGATATCTAAATTCTAAAATAATGACTGTTAATTTAACCAAACTTGTGCCGGTTTTTATGGCTACATTTTAAATACCAGACTGGTAGATAATTGCTTGTTGACTTCAAACACTTATGTTCTTTTTGATTGTTCTATTATCATTGTTATTTAACTTAGTTTAATGAACTATTCAATGAATGCATATTGAGCAGGCTGTTGCAGAGGAGAAATTCAAGCATTGTAACTCAGCGTATCAGTCTTTATGTGATAAGTTGGCTGTGAACTGAGGATTCTTTGAAGCATGTGCTCTAGATTTCTTCAAGCTACCACATTTCGTCGGAGGTCAGGAAATCTGTCATGTTTAACAGTGACTTTTGTAGTTTATATTGAGATAATGGTGCTGTGGTGCGAGTTATGTGAATATAGTTCCATTCCCCCCCATGCGTACTGTGGCATAAACACACCAGCTGTGATTCAAGATTTAAATGCACCATAAGAAAGAGCCTTTGTTTCTCATCTGGGTTGCTTGCCAGAGTTGACAGGGAGAATGAATAACTGATGACCCTTTCCTAGTCTCGCAGCTGAGATTGTTATTAGAATTAGTTCAACTTTTCTCAAGGTGGGATTATTGTGAAATTAATGGAAGGATCTTTTGCCTGCTCATTCATGTATGATCTGTGCTTGGTGAAAAACATGTATAATGGAACATATATTAAAATTGGAAGAAGGAAAATATGTGCTGGAAATGGTGATAATTATGGAACTTTTGTCTCTATTGTTTGGTTTACAAAGAAAACAACAACAGTGAACTAAAAGATACGAGTTCAATTTCTTTTCTTTTTTCAAATTTTATTACTGATAGCTGTAAGATTCCAATTTCATTCTACTCAATTCGAATTATATTTTGGAGTTTGTGAATTTGGATTTTGAGGTTTATTTAAACCTGTTCTAATAGCCAAAGTTGACTTTTGATGGGTAATTAGATAACTAATTCAGTGATTTACTTTTATGTAGTTTTATTCTGTATATGTGATTGTTGTTACAAATTTAATTTAAAAAAATTAAGTTTTTTTTTGGGGGGCTCAAATGCTTGAATGGTGAATTTGGCTTAAGCAACTTTATAGGGAACATTGATTATGGGTTTGCATTAATTAATTGTCTTGAGAATTATCATTTTGGAAAATGCAGATTATAATAATGTGATCAACCTTCATAGAAATTTATGATATAAATTGGATGATTCCTTTTATAAGGCAATCATCTTTTGTTTTGGTTTGGTTTTACAGTGACTTCAGAGCTTGGTGGAGTTGTAGGCCTAGAGTTTGGTTTTCAACATAAATAAAGAAATTACGTTAGCTGTTCGTTTGTCTCAACCCTTAGGCAGTTATTGTCAGGTTCAATGAAATATGGTTCATATTGACTACTAATAAAATGGATTTTATTTTGCTTTCAAAGTTTATATATATATAGACTTGAGTCAAAGAATTTATTAGATAGATGATGTATGTATGTTGCAAATATTCCATTTTGTTTCCCTGCAAACTTTCATAGTTGTTTGACAATCAATTTTATCATATATTTAGACAGTACAATCTCCATATCATGATTGACAATGGACGTGTGATGCGGATACTTAAGGTTTGTTTAGTAAAAAGGATAAAAAAATTTTTAAATTAAAAATTTATTAATCATCAAATTAATAAATTTTTTATTTTCACTTTTTTCGACTCATCTTACTAAGAAGCAAAGCTTTAATGAAACTGTAGAGTCAATAGCAACAAATACCAACTTAACTAGATGCTACTCTTGCCCTGTTCCATTTGTTGTTAAGCGTCCACAGTCCACACATACGACACACCAAAGTGAAATGACAAGCAGAAGCACTGAAATTTCAGCAGCAATGGACAATACATGAGATTTATTGAAGCAACTTATCCAAAATGCCTGTCTGTTATAGACAATCTTCATGATTAACAAGGTTTTTGTAATACCCGAAAAAAAAAAAAAAAGAGATTATTTCTTTAATAAAGAATGAGAAGTGCAGATGACTTATTGATAAATAACCTAAATTTTTTTATTAATAGAGTTAACTTTTCAGTTTTCAGTCGACGATTAGTCGTAATAAAAATAGAAACTTATTTCTCATATGTTTCTTATACAGAATAGATCATTGAAGGATTCCATGTGAAGGGAAGAACAAATCTACAAGGAGAAATTATCTGTTAGAGGTGGGTAAATAATTTTTTTTAATTTTTGGAGTATTGATGGTTAAGTCTTAAAGTGTAAATTATAATCGAGAAACCCTAAAATTTTAGGGTTTCCATTATCCCTCTTTAGGCAGATGATTTAGACTTTAATTAGAGTCAAGTTAAGTGTTGAGAAAGTTGGTAATGTGAATTTATTGCTGAAACATAAATTTGATGGGAATAGAAAGGAAAATCTTTGTTTTGTATAAATCCTGATATAAATCATATGTTTGTAGTGATGAATTAAGATTATATTCTGTATTAAAGGGTTAAATACTACTATGATTACTATATATGGTTGGAAAGCATGTTGAATCTAATTTTTTAATGAAACAAACAGGAGTCGAATTCGAGTTCTCTATGAAGAGTTATCCAATTTTTACCTAAGGAGGTACAGGCTGCCTAGTAACAGCAGTAAGGGGGAATTACGAAATTTCCCTAAATTTTTATACAAGGATTTACAGTTTAAGCCATATATGTTTGGAAAGCTTATCGAGTCTACTTTCCAATGAAATAAGCGAAATTGAATTTGGAGTTACCTATGAATAAATACGTAATTTTTATGAAAAGGTACATAGGCTGTCTGGCAGCAGCATATGACGTGGATTACAAAAATTGTTATAATTAATCCACAAAGAATCACGAGATGAGCCATATATGGTTAGAAAGCTTGTCAAGTCTAATTTCTAACACATTAATAAGATTTTAATTCCGAATTGGATATCTTGAGTTATGATCGTTTTAGTAAAAGTAGCGCTGAAAGCCAGAATTAATTACTCGAGTTATTACTTGTTTAACTTAATTGTTTTGGTATAAGTGGCCTCAAATGGGTTGATTAATTATTGTTATGTTGGAATTATCTTGAATAGGCCACTAAATTTTGAGGGAGAAAAATTAGGTGGTGGAATCAGAAGAAGGTAAGTAGAATCTCACACACTTTGTTTGTTTTCGAAACTATGTATATATATATGTTTTTAAATGAAAGAATGTTTTATTTCATTATTTTCAGTGTATGAAAATATGATCAAGCATATGATTATTTTGTGTTTCTCTATATAAATGATGGATCATGCTTATGAATGAAATGAGAAAATGATTTATGTTTAAAGAATGATTTTATGATAGCTACGTTTTTATATCCCTGGGAAGTGGGATCATCGACACCAGAACTAGTTCTACGACCCTAGCTAACGGGTAATAGTAGTTAGTAAAGACATGATCATACAACCCTGGCTAACGGGTAATAGTAGTTAGCGTAAACCTTGGCTAACAGGTTATAATAGTTAGCAATGATCATGAGAATGAAATTATCGATACGGCCAATGTCACAGGTTATAGCAGTGACCGTAGCTAACGATTTGAATGATGATGATGATTTACGATGATTTTTAATGATTGATCCATGATTTGGTTTGACTACGATATTTGAATGATAGCATATTTTGACATTGATTTATGAATTTATGAAGTGACATATTTTGACATTATGATTTGACAAATATTTTGAATGATCTATATGACATGTATGAAAATGATGTTTGATCTGGTAAGGTGTGTAAGCCTTTACTTACTGAGCTGTGGTTTGCTCATTCCTTATTTTCTTTTCTTTTACAGATGTTATGAATGATAAGTATGATTAGCTTGAGAAAAGCTAGAAGAACCGAGCATTGGAGAACTACTTAGAAATATAGGATTTTATGAAGTATTGTTTATTTTAGTTGTAATACTCTACTTTGAACCTTTGGAGACTTGTTATCTAGCTATGTTACTTAATGAGAACATTTTATATTTGAGAGTTGTTTAATGGTTATGGATTAGGCTTCGTATTGCTTTGGGGTTTTACTTCAAGGTAATATGGCAGTGTTATGCCTCGATTCGAGGCGTGACAAAATTGATATCAGAGCCAGGTTTAAGATCCAGGAAAGGAAAGAATTGAGTTATAGATAGTGTAGAACTTAAGTATTCTTAGCATTTACACTGATAAGATTCGATTATTTTATTTTGATCGCTTACGAATTTTTTTTCTTTGTTGGTATTAAATTAGGTAAGAATGAGTGGTAGAAATGAGACATTAGCAGACCTTGTGGGTCGAAGGAAAAGAACTGACAGGAGAAGGGATGAATCTAAAACCATCAATGTTTGAGATGAGCAAATTGATATTAAAAATGCTCTTAATGCTCCGGTGACGCGGGATGATTTAGTTGGAGTGTGTCAGGTGGTGTCTAATTTGATACAACAATAGCAGCAAACATAAGAGAATCTGCAACAACGCGAGACAACTTATGAACGATTTCGAAAGGTTAACCCACCTCAGTTTGAAGGCGGCCCTAATCCTTTGGTTATAGAAGCTTGGGTTAAAGAGTTAGAAAAACTCTTTAAGGCAATGCGTATCTCTGAAGATTTGAAATTGAGCTTGGCTGTCATTCAACTAAGAGAAAATGCTGAGTACTGGTGGGATACCATAAATCCCACATTTGAAGATTCAGATGAGCCTCTGACTTGGAAAAAGTTTAAAGAGATTTTTTTTGACCAATATTTTCCAGAATCAGTGAAAGTAAAGAAGGAGAATGAGTTTCTGCAATTACAGCAAAAGCATGATATGTCTATGCTGGAGTATGCCAAGTTTAATGAGCTGGGACGTTTTTGTACTCACATCATTGACTCAGATAAGAATAAGGCAATACGATTCGAGCATGGGTTGAAGCCAAGTATTCGATCTCGTTTATCTTCTCATATAATTGATAGTTATAAAGATGTGTTATAGCGAGCACTGAAGATTGAGTCAGACATGAAAAGATTTGAGCAAGAGAGGGGTGATAAGAAACGCTCGAGGTTTGAGGGAGATTAGAGTAATCGTCAAAAGAATGTCAGAGGAAACATAAGTAAGAAGTGGGAGACGAAATCTGGTATTAAGCTCGAGAAATGTGATTTTTGTAAGCGATTTCATTCTGGACCATGTTTTAGAAAAGCAAGAATTTACTTTAAATGTGGAAAATATGGGCATATTGCTCAAAATTGCCTAAACAAGAAGAATAATGCTGTTAAAGCTAAACCGATGGAATAACCACAAAAGGGAAATGCTCGAGTTTTCACTTTAACTCGCCAAGATGCTAATGCAAATGATAATGTGGTGACAGGTATTGTTCTTATTAATCGTGTCCATGCTAATGTTTTATTTGATTCTGAGGCCTCTCATAGTTTTATTTCTGTCAAATTTTCTACATCTTTGAGTATTGAACCTGAAAAGTTGAATGAGCCTTTATATGTTGCTACTCCTGTGGGAAAAATTATGTGTGTTGATACTATTTATAAGAATTGTGTTGTACACATAGGGAGTTGTGAACTACTAACAGATTTGGTACAGTTAAAGATGCTAGAGTTTGATGTGATTTTAGGGATGAATTGGTTATCTATACATCATGCAGTTATTGATTGTTACAGAAAGAGAATAGTGTTTCAGTGTTCAAGACAATTAGAACTTGTATATGAAGGTCATCATTTAAGCCTTTCGTGTCAGATTATGTCAATTTCAAGTGCCATGCAATCTCTAAAGAAAGGGTGTCCAGGCTACCTCGCCTATGTGAAAGACACTCAAATGAATGTAGGCTCACGATTAAAAGATATTTCGATTGTTAAAGATTTTTTTGATGTTTTTCCTGAGGATTTACCTGGCTTACCTCCTTATCGAGAAATTGAATTTAAAATCGATCTTATCCCTTGAACTGGACCAATATCTAAGCCTTCTTATCACATGGCTCCATCTGAGTTACGTGAATTAAAGGTGCAACTCCAAGAACTATTAGAGAAAAAGTTTATTCGTCTTAGTTTGTCACCTTGGGGAGCTCCTGTATTGTTTGTTAAAAAGAAAGATGGGAGTCTGCGCTTATGCATTGATTATAGGGAGTTAAATAAAGTGACTGTGAAGAACAAATATCCTCTTCCTCGAATTGATGACTTGTTTGATCAATTACAAGAAGTAAAGGTCTTTTCAAAGATTGATTTACGGTCTGGATATCATCAGTTAAAGATTAAGGCAGGTGATGTATCCAAGACTGCTTTTCGAACTAGGTATGGCCATTATGAATTTTTGGTTATGCCTTTTGGATTAACAAATGCACCTACTGCCTTCATGGACTTGATGAATAGAATTTTTAAACAGTATCTGGATCAATTTGTTGTTGTTTTTATTGATGACATTTTGGTTTATTCTAAGAGTGATGAGGAACATGAGAAGCATTTGAGGATTGTATTACAGATCTTGCGGGATAAACAACTCTTCGTAAAGTTTAGCAAATGTGAATTTTGGTTGACAAGTATTAGTTTTCTTGGTCATGTTATTTTTTAAGATGGGATTTCAGTTGATCCGAAAAAGATTGAGGCAGTGGTGAATTGGCCTCGCCCGATAAATGTGACAGAAGTAAGAAGTTTTATAGGCTTGGCAGGTTATTATAGAAGATTTGTTGAGGGGTTTTCTCAAATTGCTGTGCCATTGACTCATTTAACTCAAAAACAAGCAAAATTTGAATGGACTAAGGAATGTGAACAGAGTTTTCAAGAGCTAAAGCAACGATTGGTGTCAGCACCTATCTTTACCTTACCTTCTGATATTGGTAGTTTTACAATTTATAGTGATGCTTCCAAGAAGGGGTTAGGTTGTGTGTTAATGCAGAATGATAAGGTAATTGCTTATGCTTCTAGGCAATTAAAAACCTACGAGCAGAATTATTCGACTCATGACTTAGAGTTAGCTGCCATTGTGTTTGCTTTGAAAATATGGAGACATTATTTGTATGGGGAGCCTTATGCAATTTATACAGACTATAAGAGTTTAAAGTATCTGTTTACGCAGAAAGAGTTGAACATGAGACAGAGAAGATGATTAGAATTAATCAAAGATTATGATTTGACCATCAATTATCATCCGGGCAAAGTTAATGTAGTTGTTGATGCTCTTAATAGAAAGTCCATTGGAAGTATGGCTGCTTTGCTTACTTTGCAACCAAAATTATTGGAGGAACTTGATACGCAGCAAATCGAGGTGATTATACAAGGAAAAGGTGTTGTTATGGCTAGTTTGGTGGTTTAACCAACTTTGATCGAAAAGATAAAATTTGCATAAAAAGAAGATAGTGAGTTAGACAGAATTAAAACAGAAGTGCAGAATGGTTTACGGTCAGAGTTTAATCTTCACGATGATGGCACATTACGTTTTAAAAATAGATTATGTGTACCAAATGATCTTGATCTAAAATGAGAGATCTTGAAAGAAGCACATGGGTCTCGATTCACTATACATCTTGGAGGCACTAAGATGTATAAAGATTTGAAAGGAAGTTTTTGGTGGAATAATATGAAACGTGACATAGCTCAGTTTGTGTCCCAATGTCTAGTGTGTCAGCAAGTTAAGGCTGAACACCAAAGACCATCAAGGTTGTTACAACTTTTGAAGATACCGGAATGGAAGTGGGAGCACATCTCTATGGATTTCGTGATGGGGTTGCCTAGGTCATCTAAAGGGAATAATGCAGTGTGGGTAATTGTTGATAGACTCACTAAATCAGCTCATTTTTACCTATCAAGTCGACTACTCCACTTGATAAACTAGCACAATTGTACACGGGTGAAATTATCCAATTGCATGGAGTTCCAGTGAGTATTGTGTCAGATAGAGATTCTAGATTTGTTTCTAAGTTTTGGGTAAGCTTACAGCGAGCTATGGAGATAAATTTGAAATTAAGTACAGCCTTTCACCCTCAGACAAATGGGCAAACAGAGAGAATAAATCAAATTTTAGAAGATATGCTTCGAGCATGTTTGATTGATCTAAAAGGTAGTTGGGATGATTACTTACCTTTAGCACTTAAAGCAGCTCAAGATCGTCAGAAGAGTTGGGTAGATAAAAAGAGAATGGAGTTAGAATTTTAACAAGGGGTTTTTATTTTTTTAAAGGTGTCACCCACAAAAGGTGTTATGCGATTTGGGAAGCGAGGAAAGCTAAGCCCACGTTATATAGGTCCATTTGAAATTCTTGATAAGGTGGGAGAAGTTGCATATAGGATAACCTTGCCACCTCAGCTATCTGACGTGCACAATGTTTTTCATGTGTCCATGTTGAGAAAGTATGTCTCTAACCCAAGCCACGTGATAGAGTATGAACCTTTAGAAGTTCAAGAAGATTTAACATACTTGGAATATTTTATTCGAATAATTGATCAAAAAGAGCAAGTCTTAAGGCATAGAACTATTCCCTTTATAAAAGTCCAATGGAGCAATCATACACCAAGAGAAGCAACTTGGGAAATGGAAGATGATATGAAGAAACGACATCTTCAGTTATTCGAAAATGAAGGTAAATCAAGTTTCGAGGATGAAACTTTTTATAAGTTGGGGAGATTGTAATACCCGAAAAAAAGAGAGATTATTTTAAGTATTTTTATAAGTGGGGGACTCTTTAATAAAGAATGAGAAGTACAGAGGACTTATTGATAAATAACCCAAATTTTTTTATTAATAGAGTTAACTTTTTAGTTTTCAGTCGACGATTAGTCGTAATAAAAACAGAAACTTATTTCTCATATGTTTCTTATACAGAATAGATCAATTGAAGGATTCCATGTGAAGGGAAGAACAAATCTACAAGGAGAAATTATCTGTTAGAGGTGAGTAAATAATCTTTTTCAATTTTTGGAGTATTGATGGTTAAGTCTTAAGGTGTAAATTATAATCGAGAAACCCTAAAATTTTAGGGTTTCCATTATCCCTCTTTGGGCAGATGATTTAGACTTTAATTAGAGTCAAGTTAAGTGTTGAGAAAGTTGGTAATATGAATTTATTGCTGAAACAGAAATTTGATGGGAATAGAAAGGAAAATCTTTGTTTCGTATAAATCCTTATATGAATCATATGTTTGTAGTGATGAATTAAGGTTATATTCTGTATTAAAGGGTTAAATACTATTATGATTACTATATATGGTTGGAAAGCATGTTGAATCTAATTTTTTAATGAAACAAACGGGAGTCGAATTCGAGTTCTCTATGAAGAGTTATCCAATTTTTACCTAAGGAGGTGCAGGCTGCATAGTAACAGCAGTAAGGGGAAATTTCGAAATTTTCCTAAATTTTTATACAAGGATTTACAGTTTAAGCCATATATGTTTGGAAAGATTATCGAGTCTACTTTCCAATGAAATAAGTGAAATTGAATTTGGAGTTACCTATGAATAAATACGTAATTTTTATGAAAAGGTACACAGGCTGTCTGACAGCAGCATATGACGTGGATTACAAAAATTGTTATAATTAATCCACAAAGAATCACGAGATGAGCCATATATGGTTAGAAAGCTTGTCAAGTCTAGTTTCTAACACATTAATAAGATTTTAATTCCGAATTGGATATCTTGAGTTATGATCGTTTTAGTGAAAGTAGCGCTGACTGCCAGAATTAAATACTCGAGTTATTACTTGTTTAACTTAATTGTTTTGGTATAAGTGGCCTCAAATGAGTTGATTAATTATTATTATGTTGGAATTATCTTGAATAGGCCACTAAATTTTGAGGGAGAAAAATTAGGTGGTGGAATCAGAAGAAGGTAAGTAGAATCTCACACACTTTGCTTGTTTTCGAAACTATGTATATATATATATATGTTTCTAAATGAAAGAATGTTTTATTTCATTATTTTCAGTGTATGAAAATATGATCAAGCATATGATTATTTTGATTTTCTCTATATAAATGATGATCATGCTTATGAATGAAATGAAAAATGATTTATGTTTAAAGAATGATTTTATGATAGCTACGTTTTTATATCCCTGGGAAGTGGGATCATCGACACCAGAACTAGTTCTACGACCTTGGCTAATGGGTAATAGTAGTTAGCAAAGACATGATCATACAACCCTGGCTAACGGGTAATAGTAGTTAGCGTAAACCTTGGCTAACGGGTTATAATAGTTAGCAATGATCATGAGAATGAAATTATCGATACGGTCAATGTCACGGGTTATAGCAGTGACCGTAGCTAACGATTTGAATGATAATGATGATTTACGATGATTTTTAATGATTGATTCATGATTTGATTTGACTACGATATTTGAATGATAACATATTTTGACATTGATTTATGAATTTATGAAGTGACATATTTTGACATTATGATTTGACAAATATTTTGAATGATCTATATGACATGTATGAAAATGATGTTTGATCCGGTAAGATGTGGGAGCCTTTACTTACTGAGCTGTGGTTTACTCATTTCTTATTTTCTTTTTTTTTACAGATGTTATGAATGATAAATATGATTAGCTTGAGAAAAGCTAGAAAAACCGAGCATTGAAGAACTACTTAAAAATATAAGATTTTATGAAGTATTATTTATTTTGGTTGTAATACACTACTTTGAATCTTTTGAGACTTGTTATCTAGTTATGTTACTTAATGAAAATATTTTATATTTGAGAGTTGTTTAATGATTATAAATTAAACTTCGTATTGCTTTAAAGTTTTACTTTAAGATAATATGATCGTATTATACCTCGATTCGGAACGTCACAGTTTTCATCCCAAAAGCAGCTCTAGAACGATAACAAGCCAACATTTTGTCCGCAGTGGCTATGCCCAGCAGTCAATCAAGCCTGCATATCCATTATCGCATGCAGCACACGGATAGATTCACGGGCTTTGGCAGTGATGTCCTCAACCTAATCATTCTAAACACAGCCATATATATTGCTGCAAGTCTAGCTTGACACCAATCAGTAACTCAAATGCTCCTTTCTAAATCCTAAATATAGAAACCACTGCAAATGGAATTACCTCAAAATGTAAAAACAACGTAGGAGAAGAAACATAAACTAATGATACATTAAACCAAAAAAATATCAAATAAAAAAGCAAAACTTTTTATCACTTTCTGCACGTCATGAGCCTTTCATTGAATCAACAAAACCACTGCTGAGAAGTCTCTCTACGTACTTCCCAAGAATATCCACCTCCAAATTCACCTTTTGCCCAACTTCCTTCAAAGGAATCACCATTTTTGTTGAGTATAAGCTACTAACATAAAATTAAAAGAAAGTTCCTCTTCAAACACATCCACCACAGTCAAACTAGTTCCATCCACGGCTATAAACCCTTTCGGCACCACATACTTCAACAAACTCTTATCAACCTTAACTTTAATCCACAGTGAATCCCCTTCCACCTCTTTCCCCACTATCTCCCCTGTCCCATCCACGTGTCCCTGCACGAAATGACCCCCCATCCGCCCTGTGGGCTGGATAGCCCGCTCCAAATTCACCAATGACCCGGGTTCCAACTCACTCAATGAAGTTTTCCTTAGGGTTTCAGGAGCCAACCCGACCGTGAATTCTCCCAAACGGGTATCAAAATCTGTGACCGTTAGGCAAGTTCCATTAACGGCAATGCTGTCACCAAGGTGGATATCTTCTGTAACGGTTTTCGCGTGTATTTTGAGATCGAATCCGCCGTGATCGGCCATACCCAGTTGCTTGATTTCACCCATTTCTTCGACGATGCCGGTGAAGAGAGAGCGGATAGTGGGTCTTCGAAAATATTGAATTTTGGATCTAAGTTTGGATGGTTGAGTGAAAAGAGAAAGAGAAGAGGGTTTCGAAATGGGGTTGAGTTTGAGGTAGGTTTTCAATGATGGATTAGTTTTGAGAAGATTCAAGGTTATAGGGTTATTCGTAAGAGAGGCTTTGGTGATTATGGAGACCGAATTCAGTGATGTAGAAAGCGCCATCTTTTTTCCTTGTTTAATTCTGCTCTGTTTGTTTCTGGGGAAAAAAGAAAAAAGCAAAGAGCAAGTTCACTTTCTCCAAATATGAAAGTGGTCAAAACCCTCAACAACCCCAGTTGCAGACGATTTTAGAATTAAAAATATTATTTTTTCTAAATTTTTTATTTTTATGTTGACCTGATAATGGACCGTCATTGTACCGTATTTTAACTCTGATGGTCCATCATTTGATCATCCGACCAACTGTAAAACTTCCTATGGTCGCAAAATTAATATCTGGCACCCACCTAAACTCACCTTAGCTACTCTAGGCATCGTTGTACCCTATTTTAACTCCCTCCTTTGTTGACTTCGACCGGCGCTCCCCTGTCTTCTTTTGAACAAATCAAACAGAGACTTTCCCTTTCTCTTTTATTCAATCACAAAGAAATTCATTACCCAAAATTTTCATATCCTTTCAAAATCTCAATTTCCCAATTTACAGGAAAAATTGTCTTTAAATCGCACCAAAATTCCTTTTTTTTTTTTACTTATTTCCATTTTTCAATCATGAAAATTTCGCTTTTATATATTTGGTTCAAATCCAATGGCGTCTAATTTGTTCCCATTTAAAGATTGATCGTCAATTAATTAGGGTTTTTGAAGAAAAGAATAAATTGTTTTTATTTTTATTTTTTTTAAATATGGAGAAAAACAAATCTTTCAAATACTACTCTCAAGAGCCCGATTCACCTCATCCATGGAACACCGATTTCGGATTCGCCAACGCAAGCGATCGGCGTTACGCATTTTCGAGGCAACCGTCGTTTCACCAACCGCAGAGAGATCCCATAACACCGATGACTCCGAACTTTTCCAACGATTGCATGAAGCCTTTTCTATCGAGGAATGTTTCAAGCATCGATATACCCCCAGGGTTTTATTCTTATGACCAAGTAAAGGAAGGATCCTTCGAAGCCAAAGGATCCGCAGCGGAGGATAAATTCTCGGTTTTGGAATCGGTTTTGCGGGTTTTTCGGGTTTTGAGAACCGGTAACCGGCAAATGAAGAGGTTGCTGATTATGATTTCGCTTAATGTGGCGTATTCTACTGCTGAGTTGGTGATTGGGCTCTTTACTGGCCGTATTGGTGAGATTCTAATCTGTTTTAGGCTTGTTTTTTGGATTTATATGCATGAATTTGCTTTTCTTTTTTATTATAGTGATTGTAGTTTTAGCAGTTGGTAATTAAATTAGGATATATGTTTGTAAAAGATTGGGGTGAGACTCTTTTCTGGATGTATGTGTTTGAAAAAATTTTGTTAAATAAATTTGGACATACAAAAGCTAGCCTATAAAAATTTTGGTAAATAATATTAGTTGCTTGCAGATTAACTGCTTTTATCATTCTCAGCTATGATTGTTGTTTGTAGTTCTGATATTTCGCAATTGAACTAGGTTTCTACTTGTAAGAGTTGGTACACTTTTTTTTTTTTAAAGTTAAATTTTGTGGCTGATTGTATGCTTAAATGCTCGTCTTTGCAGTGGTATTATGGACAGTATGTTTTTCTTTTTGACTATGAAAGTTGTTCTTTTGACAATTTTGTAACCCTATTTATCAGTGTTCAATCGTTCTTTATGCTTTTGAACAATTTTATTGAGCTTTGAGCTTTGAATTTTGATTTCTTTTTTAATTCTTTTCATGAAAGGGAATGCATCACTTTAAAATATCACCCTGGGTTGAATGAAATTCCTTGTTGATTTTGGTTTGCATCAAGTTTTTTGGTTTCCTGGTTTATAGTTAAAATTTTCTCTGTTCCTTATTTGTTGTTATGCTTGTCTTTTCAGGTTTGGTATCCGATGCATTTCATTTGACGTTTGGCTGTGGTCTCTTGACGTTTTCATTGTTTGCGATGGCTGCTTCTCGAAGAAAGCCTGATCATATTTATACTTATGGGTGAGATTATACAATTTCAATTATGTCTATGAGATAAAGATGGTGCAATTTATTGTTATTGCTTGGAGTTGTCAAATTGGGTGTTTCTTTTTCCAGTCGGTATTTATTTTTCTGGATAGTATTTTAACTTTAATTATTTGCCAACATATGTCTTACATGAAATTATGCCTCTTATTGAGTTTATTTATTTGATTTTTTTCTCTTGACAATCTTAACTTATATGCACCCACAGATTCATTTGCTGTTTTACAGTTGTGTTACCTTTTTTTTTTTTGTTTCCTTTTCTCCTATGTTATTTTGTGGCAAAGGCATTGTATACTTGGTAGTCATTATCTCTCCTCTAAAAAGGAGGTCTCAATTGCACATCCTCCCTTCCCCAAATCAATTATGGAATGACCAAGAGAGTTTTTTTCTTTTTCAAGTTATCTTGTGGACACTAGATGTATGGTTGTACATCATTGAGCTCTAAAAGTTTTAAGTTTTCCCATTATCAGGTACCAAAGACTTGAAGAATTGTCTGCTTTCACCAATGCTGTAAGTATTTGTATTTGCAACATTCTTTCTGTCAAAATGTCGTGTTCCAGTTGTAGCCTCTCAATTTGTACCATGTTCATGTTATGATTTCATTTTAGTGATGTTTGAATTACAATGAACTTAGGACAGGATAAAAAATATTGTCCCTTAAAATGTCAGCTGCTGAACGTTCCTGGGGTTTGGTTTTGTTAGGAGTCACTTGGTATTAGTCATGTTAGAAGCAACTTCTGAATTCTGATGGATTTCTGTGGCAGTTGAATTTATAAGTTTAAAATGCTGATGGGACTAGATTTTTGTTGCCTTTAGTTTAGATAATCCATATAAAGCGAGATATAATGTACTGTATTTTACTAAAAGCTTCAACATTTAAGATGTCTGCAATTACAAAATAAGCTCATTGCTGAATGCTCAAGAAGTAAGCTTAGCAGATGAATGATTTTCATGTGAATCATATTGGATATATATAATATGAAAATATATAGAAAATTTGTTATTTATTTGTGATCGAAAATAATACTATTTTCTGCATTTATTCATTTCAAAGAAAAGTGAAATAGGTCGAATTATTGCAAAGCAATGCAAATTTGTTACCGTAGTACAACATTTTCTTTAAATTAATGCTGTTAATATTGTCTCATGCACTCAATAAATATCAATAACTTTAATATAAAAAAAGTGAAAAATAAAGAAGAATGAATCATGTAAAATTAAGAGTCAATGTGTAAAATTAGAAAACTATCTTAAAACGATAACTCACAATCAAATTGTATATGAAATGATAAATTTAATAAAAATATGTGAAATTTATAAATTGATATATACATATAACTATATATTTATATATATATATATATTTATGTTATAGTTCTATTTCTTTTTTCCTCCCTTCGGCTTCAAATGTGTTTTATGGTTGTATTGAACTTAATTATTTTGATGATTTTAGAATATTTTGGGAAACAAGTAATGATATATCAGTGTAATAATTCTCTATTAGAAAGTGATATATGAGCATTATAACTCTCTATTAGGAAGTGTATAGACTCTCCTCAATCTGGGGGTTCAGTTCTGTGAGTATTTGATGCTGACTGTTTATAGAGTAAAATGGTAAGCAAATAGAAAATCCTTGAAAGAATTTGTAAGGGATGCCAATTATATCTTAAAAAGTAATTGTTGGCTTGCTTTGTTTTGTTTATCTTCTATCAAGGGAATGTAGATCTCATATGAACTTGTGTTGTGTGTTCTCTTATGCTTTGAGTGTACTCCTAGTCCTTTGAAATATTTCAGCTATTATGTTTTGTTGCTTTTTTTTTTTAATTACATAAAATAGGCTAACATCTTGATATTCTTGATTTTGCTGTTTGTTTAGACAGCTGTTTCTATTATTCATGTCATTCTCCTTAGCTGTGGAAGCACTTCATGCTTTCATCCAAGATGAATCGGAGCACAAGTAAGTCAGTCATCTTGTTTTTGATTGGCAGCACAGTAGTCAATATTAATTAGTTGTCAGTTATTTAATCTTTTTTATTAGTACATGATAAAACATAATTTAACATATTTACTAATTTTTTGCTTCTTCTAGGCATTATTTGATTGTTTCGGCAGTGACAAACCTATTGGTGAATCTTATTGGCGTTTGGTTCTTTAGAAATTATGCTCGAATCTTTTTTGGTAAGTGAGATGCTGTGGTTCTTGATATTTGGGATGTTATATTTCAACTTAAAATGAGAATGCTTATGAGGTTCAATGATGGAGCCAGGGGGTCAATACCCTTATAGTTTTCTTTGGAAAGACTGATTGAATAATATCTAATTGCTTTTAAAATATATTTAAGTGATAATTTTAGAAAAACTGCCCTCTGCGAGGCTAGTGCTTGTACTCTTTTAAGTACGGGGTTCAAGGAGGGCTCTTTGTTTTGGAGTTGATGAATGTTTTGACTGTTGACTTTCAGCTGGCGATAAATGGTTTGCTCTATTTGAAATTAATTCATGAACATCATATTAAGAAAGTATTTTGGCAGTTTGTGATGATAGCTGCTGCTTCTAACTGCCTATTTTTGTACTATCTTTTTCATTCACTTACTTATTTTCGTAGCTAATGTTGTGGGCCTTCATACTGTGATCATTGATGTTTGATATGTCTAGATCTTTTAGGTTCCCTTGATGATTTTTTTTTTCATGCTAGGATTTTATTATTGGTGTGTTTACTTACATGTTGTCAGTGGTGTGCCATCTGATGCAGAAATATTATGTTTGAAGCATGGCGGTCTTTTTTATTATGACAACCTAAAGCTTACCAAGTTATAGATGCCATAATTTTGGACATAAGCTTGAGATTTGTGCTATTCTTACATGCATATTTTTCTTGCAGTATACAGGAAACCTGAAGATATGAATTTTCATTCAGTTTGTTTGCACGTTCTTGCAGATTCCATTCGCAGGTGTGACATGTGTTCTCTCTCTCTATCTATGCATGACTGTTCCTTTCTTTCATTGTTTCCGTCTGTCTTAAGCTGCTGTACATTTGTTTTTTCTCAGTGCAGGTTTGATTTTGGCATCCTGGTTTCTGTCTCTTGGGTAATTTCTCACTTCAATTTTAAACCAAGGCTTTGTTTGGTAGGCAGGATGGAAAGAACTGAGGATGGAAAACTTATTAATCCAATGGTTAAAATTTATAACCACTTTCCAGCTTTGTAGCTTAACCATTAGATTAAGAGGATTTCCGTCCTCACCCCTTTCCATCCTTCCTACCAAACAAGCCAAATGTCAACAGTCCAGCTCCTTCCCCCAAAAACTTGTCCTGTTCCTCTATTTTCCCCCTTGTTCTTTCTCCATTTTGTCTTGTAATTTTTGTTCCCCCCTTCTTGTAGGGTTAACAATGCTGAAGTTTTGTGTTTGGGATTAGTTTCTGGTGCAGTCTTCATGCTTGTCATGCCACTATTTAAAGCAACTGGTGGTGTCTTGCTTCAGATGGCGCCACCTAATATTCCATCTTCTGCTTTGAGCAAATGCTGGCGGCAGGTGTTTACCTTTGCCTTTGATATTGTAATGCAAAATTTTGTCAAATTTATGCATTTTCTTTTGTGAATTATAATTTTTTTTCTATCCTGTTTAGGTTACTTCTCATGAAGATGTTATAGAAGTTTCTCAAGCTCGGTTTTGGGAACTAGTTCCTGGTCATGTTGTTGGATCCCTTTCACTTCAGGTATTTTACTGTCATATTCATCTCACCTGTGATTCTTAAGGCAGCAAATAGTTACCCTTGTAGGTGTTTTAAAATGTTTTTATCCATTGCTGCTTGCTTAATGTTGCATTTTTGTTGACATTTGAGCAGGTGAAGAAAGAGATGGATGATCGCCCAATACTAGAGTATGTGCATAGTTTGTACCATGAATTGGGAATACATGATTTGACAGTGCAATCTGATCATGTTTGAACCTCAGGCCTTTTTCTTTTTCCCTATTTTCATTGGATTTACGAGATTGTTATGGGGGAAAAGAACCTAATATTGGAGTCACTTTGTCATCCCAAATGGATAGGCTACGAGTAGCGGAAATTTTGAGTCTGCTTCTTGGGTTTAAATTGCCCATTTAGAGAATAACATTTTATAGTAGTTTGTATTATTTCTAAATTTCATGGGGTTTCATCTGCTGGATTTTTTTTTTTTCATCCTCATATATGGAATTTTATATTAGGTAATTTACAACAATCCTTCAATCATGGTTCATTGAAGTTTACTTGTTTTTGCTTGTTTTGGATCTTCCCCTGTTTACATGCTTGCAAATTGCAATGTGTTTTATCATATATATATATGTATATATGTATACATATATACATATATACATATATATATATATATATATGTGTGTGTGTGTGTGTATTTACAACAATCCTTCAATCATAGTTCATTGAAGTTTACTTGTTTTTGCTTGTTTTGGATCTTCCCCTGTTTACATGCTTGCAAATTGCAATGTGTTTTATCATATATATATATATATATATATGTATATATGTATACATATATACATATATACATATATATATATATATATATATGTGTGTGTGTGTGTGTGTGGCATATGCAAAGCGTTATACCTCTACGGACTTGGCGTCCTCTGTCCAGTAGCATAGATGTAAGACTTGGTGCAGTCGTCCGTTGGAGGGTTCTATTCACAAATTATTATTACACCCTTTAATTTTTTGAAGTAAAATTATTTAATTATTTTTAATTATAACACTTTTTGAAAATGTATTTTTAAAAATGTTGAGAGTTAAATTTTATGAAAACCTATAAAAAAGGGAATTTGGTTAAATTTTTTTTTATAAATTAGTGTAAAAAAATTATTAAAAAAATATATAAATTTTAAAATTAATAAAAAAATTTACTTTTACTAATTTTATTTTAGAGAAAAAAAAATTCTTATGAGGTTTTAATTAAATATTTAATCTTTTGATGATATGAAGAGTAATGATAAAATTATCATGTCTATTCAACATATAAACTCTACATATAAGAGTTAAAAGTTCTTTAAAATTATACAATTAATATTATTGAATATTATATAATTTCGTTAAAATATAATATGTTAATTGAAGAAATTTATTAAAATAAGTAGATGGAAAAATTTTTCTAAAAAGTTTGGTTTAATTAGAGTTATTAAAAAATTTTAATAATCAATAAAAAATATTTATTAAAAAAATAAATTTTAAATTTATAAAAAATTATATTTATTATTTTATTTTTAATTTAATTAGAGTCTCATAAATTTTTTTTAAAGAACAAAATAGTAAAAGTAATTTTTTATTAATTTTAAAATTTATGAATTTTTTATTATATTAATTTGAAAAAAAATTTAAAACAATATTTGTTCGTAATTTTTCATAAAATTTGACTCTTAACACATTTAAAAATACATTTTCAAAAAATTATAAAATTTATCTTAAATGAATACCTAAAAACTTATGAAAATGATATTTAAATAATTTTATTTATATAAAAAAAGTAGAGTATAAAGACTAAAACTTGGAGCGCATTTAGAACCCCTCCGTTCATAATTTCCAAAGTTTCAACGTCCAATCCAATCCACCATCTAAAATAACGAAAAAATACAGGGAGTATAAAAGTAAACCTTTCATATAGAATTTAAAAATTTTCAAATATGCAGCAAAGAGTAGTAACTTTTTTCTCCAATCCGTAACCAGTCGTGGAGAATTGACGTCATGACCACCTCAAACCATAGAAATACACAGATGATGGTTTCTCAGAAGCTTCAAGCACAGTAACACAAGACGCAAAACATTAGACTCTGAAAAGTAGTTGCTGAAGAAATCCCTTGTGCACTCGGGTTTTTTTGTCTCTTCATTATATGTTTGAATTGACCCTTAATCAAAATCTTTTATTTATTTATAAAAACAGCGGAATCAACGGAAGTTTCATTGATAAAAAGACATTTTGCCAACTTAGGCAGGCAAAAAACAAATATGACCAGCATTAAACAAACATAGAATATTCCGTACAAAATTGAGCTTCCTCCAAATAGCTTTAGATTCAAGCATTCCGTACAATAATTGACTTTGTGCTAGTGCTATATATGCATAGACCATCAGAAAGTGAAAAAATGGAGAAGATATTGTTTCTATCTGTATGTTAGGTGGCATGTGGATTGTGTAACTGAAAAGAATGGCCGACTGAATTTTAAAATTCAAATTAAAATTTTAAGGAAAGTAGCAAGAATGTTACAAGACAAAGATATTCCAAGGATAAATCAATATTCCTAGCTAGGATAGAAGAATAATAAAATTCAACAATGTTTACATTGGACAAACAAAGCAAGTAGTTGGTGAATTACATTAATTACATGTATGCATGTTAATGTTTGACTTTGAAGGAGATCTACACAAATTCATTAATGATACTGAAGTTATAAATATATATATATATATATAACTAAAACTTCTTTGTAATTTCTAATCTATTATGTAGGTTACGGTTGGGAGAAATTTGGCTTCTTTTCAAACTTGGAATTCGGAAGAGTTTACATAGTGACAAAAAGAGAAAAAAAAAATGTCATTATTTTCAATACCAAAAATGTCAAAGGCTGGAGTGGACATCATATTTTGAGCAGAAAAGAGCAAGAAGTTACCATCTGCAGAAAAAAGGATCATAAATTTATGTCAACCTAAGTAATAAAATGACAATAGAATTTTATAATTTATCTCAACTTGTAAATTATGGTTTATCAGAATTTATAAATTTTGTTATGCAAGTACTTCAGTTTTCCTTCTTTTGATTGTGTTTTTCATTGGAGCTTGCTCTAAGGAATGGCTAATCCATTGTTTATGTCATCAGTTTTCCTTGTAGAAAAGGGTTTTTTTTTTTTTTCTTCAAGTAAGTTGTTGACCCACGTGACCTGTCCTATGTGAAACTATCAAATTATGGTATCCAGAAAATGAAGTGAGAGTTAGAAAAAGAAAAGACAATAGGTAGTACAATTTGATATTTCGCAAATGAAAAACTACAAATGTAGCATTTTCAAAGGAGGAATAGTAAGGGGGAAAATAAGTAACAAAATGGCAATAAATAGGTCAAATAGTCTGAATAGAATGGAAACATTGTTTTTGAATTACTCCATGATGAACCTTGAATTAATTAAAGAGTGGGCCAATGAAAGAGTTCTCAAAATAAAAACAAAATCCGACAATGACTGACTGCTTAGGATAAGAATGTCTAGCACCGCTTAAGACTGCCATCAAGGTTTTCTTTTATTTATTTATTTAAATAACACGGTTTGCCGTCCTTTTCGGTACAACTCCGATTCACGGGGTTGAGATTTCCACACTTTTCAACACATTATATGCTCCTAATTAATAATAAATCTCTTCCAACTTTGAAAATAATTTAAATCTTTTCTTAAATCATAATTGCATCTTTTTAATAGGGGAGTAATTGCTTGAAACAACGAATTTTGTTCTTGAAATATTTTTGGAGCTACTTCCCTCCATGTAAAAGTGGTAAATAAACTAGTCCCTGTAAGATAACAGAAAAGATTTGTCCCTCCATTGATTTAACAGCTTCATGGATGTCATGACATCTCTAGTTTATTGAAGCAATAGTGTTTCCGCTTCCAGAATTCTAGTATTAATGCAGCCAAAGAAACCTTTTGAAGGTGGATCAGTGCATTTATATATATTATTAGTGAAGTTCATATTCTGGCGGGCGGTTTTCTGGTTTTTGTTTCATTTTGATCCACTTTATTGTCTATATTTGCTAATCATTTGCTGCTTATTGGCCTGCGTTTGTCTCTTCAGGACTTAATGCTTTTGTTTGGTAGTTAGTGTTTGGTCAGCCATATGTGTTTGGTAATTGGTAATTAGTGTTTGGTCAGCCATATGCTGCAGTTATAGACATTTTCAAAGTTGTTATATACTGATAACACTGTGTAGAAAATAAATATAATCATTAACACTGCTAACACAATATTCAATACTTGATCAGACGTCACAGAGCGTCTGACGAATAACAAATGATAAAGATAGTAGAGATATTGGCACAATTACAGTATGTACAAGCACACAATCTGCTACATACTAACAGACAGAGAAAAAAGCACAATGAATCAATGATGGAATGATTATCATTGTTTAACTTCCTGGGCAGATTGCGGTTGGCTTATGATTTTACCGACCAGTTAACTCGGTAAATGAAGTGATTTGGCCTCCTGTAAGAGAGTAATCCGTTTGACAGAAAGAAGGAGGCATAGCTGGCCACACAAATGAAGGCCTTTCTTGGGGTACCTCTGGTGGATCTGCTTCCCCTGAAAGAACCTGCAAAACAGTTCTCATAGAAGGCCTGTAGTGTGGGTTTGGATGGCAACAGGCTAATCCCAGAATGAGCACACACTCCACTTCTTTTTCAATAAAGTTCCCATCCATCCTGGAATCTGCAGTGTCAGCGATCTTTCCCTTCCTATAGTAATCCCATAGCCAATTAACAATGCTATTGTTGTAATTGTTCTTCTCACACTGGTTTCCAGGCTTTCTCCCACAAACAACTTCCAGGACAAGAATGCCAAAGGAATAAACATCCGTTTCAACTGTGGCCCTGCTAATAAGAAAGGTCTCTGGAGCCATGTAACCAGGGGTGCCAGCGATCTCTATTGTCGAGTGGTGTGTCTTCTCTTTTTCTTGAATGGTTCTAGCCAACCCAAAATCTCCTAGCCTGGCGTTGAACTCTGAATCCAACATTATGTTGCTGGATTTTATGTCGCGGTGAAGCACTCTCTTCTGACAACCATTGTGGAGATACTCTAGTGCTTGTGCCACTCCTTGTATTATGGTTAGCCTTTGCTCCCAGTTCAGTGTTAATTCCTCCATGCTTGCCTTGTCATCGCAAAAGATGTACTTATCCAGGCTTCCATTTGGCATGTACTCGTACACAAGAAGGAGCTCGCGCCTTTCATAGCACCATCCAATTAACTTGACAAGATTTTTGTGATTAAGGTTGCCAATTGTTGTTACTTCTGCTATGAATCCCTGCTTGCGTTGATGTGACTTCTGGGACACTCTTTTAACAGCCACCTCCTTGTTTCTCCAGGATCCCTTGTAGACTGTTCCAAATCCACCTTTCCCAAGCTTGTACTTTGAGCTAAAGTGGCCAGTTGCTTTTTTAAGTTCTTTCAATCGGAACTTGCGAGGAGCCAAATTGGAACGTGTAATCTCATCTTCTATGTTCCCTTGTGCACCCTCCAAATCCTCCTCTATAGTTAACCTCCTCCAGAACAAGTAATTGGCTACCCCGATTAACAGAGTCAGAGTCGCTACGGAAACTGCGATCCATACCCACAACAAATTTCGATCTCCTTCAATATCTGTAACAGAAAATGCCCACGATTTGACACAGTTTAGCTCTGTGTCATTGCTTGTTGAAGCAGAGAATCCAACAAAAACCTTGCGCGGAAGATAGGTAGAGAGATCAAGAGGATGAGAAAGCACAAGAGTCTTGTTGTCCCCCACAAAAACTGTCAAGTTTTTGCCATCATATTGAATATGTACCCTTAAATCCGAACCTCCTGAAATATTAACACCGTGGCTGGTTAAAGACACTTGCGTGATTGAGTTGATGCTGTTTATATTTAAGCCAATATGATTGTTATCCAAGTCGTCAGCGTAGCTCTTCCTTGTGTCAAATTCCACAGCCACCACCCTGGCTTGAGAAGAACCATTTGAATTTGCATTTACAATACCAAGCCATTTTCCTGCGCTGTTCTCTGGAAGACTAGAATTCTCGTATATTTATAAAGCCAGGCTTTCCGCAGAATTATAGGATATTGAGGACGAAAGTTGTATTAAAGGAAGCAATGTTGCCATTGCCTTTCCCCAGCCTAAATGGTTTCTTATACAAGGCTCGTCCTGAAAAATTTTCCATAGAACCTCCATTAATATCCGGGGTAACTTGGATGGCTCCACGGACTATGTAAGAATCCCTGCTCAAGATAAGCTGCCTGTCATCTTCTTTCTCGAATGTTGAAAAATTAAATTCCAGGCAGCTTACCTGAATAAGAGCCTGATTCAGGAACACTGCTAGGATTAAAAAGTAGGCCAGTGAAGAAGAGCACATCCTGCTAGTGAAATTAACACTGGAATAGCCTCAGCGGTTAGGTTTCTGGTTATATGATGAATAACATTGAATTGGAGGTGATGATAAGTTTCAAATTCAAAGGTGGCTGTGATTTTATAAAGGAAAAAAAATGTAAAACAAGTTTGGTCAACCAATGAATTGTACTTTATATGCAACTTCCATGTAATTTCTTGGACGTCTTGTCCTATTGTATTTAACATCGTTCAACTCTTAAGAATATTGGCACTTTCAAGAATAGTTGGAGTGTGAAACTTTCCCTAAAATTTCTCTAAATTATGAGAAAATTTTTATATTTAAAGAAGTAAGCAACTATTGATTTTCTTAAATGAATAATTATATATTTATAATTAAATGTAATTAAGCAGTAATTTTTTAAGTTTCTTTCTTTCTGTAATTTTTTTGAAATATTCTCTCATCATGATTCATGTATTTCATATTTTTTCTACCATGTGTGTATAAATAGAGATTCTTTATTAGAATTTATCAAGAATTCAACTGTATTTTATGTTCTTTAGGGCTGGAACGCATTGTATTTTATTTAGTACTAATCAACATAGGGTTTTCTTTTTCTTTTTTTCTTTTTATGACAACATCAAACATGGTGTCTTTTATATATATATATATATATATATATATATATTTAAAACATGATGATGATGAATTGAAGTTACCATTGAATCTTATCTTCTATATATTACTAGTTTATTGATGTACTGAACAAGAAAGAAGGAAACAATATTATTTTATTTCCACCCTTTTTCTTCTTGTCCTTTTCGCTTCCTATCAATCAGAGCGTTGGAAAAGCTGTCTTTGGTATTAGATCATCAAAGCTTAAATCAAATTTAAATGCTTAGTACAAAGAATAAATTGATTGTCTTCAAATGTTGAATATTCAAAGCTTATTTAAAAGCAAAAGAGAATAAAGGAATTAAAGCTGATGCATGGAGTTTAATTAGATCGGATTAACTGTTATATGAGTTGTATGTGTCATCCTTCTTAATACTTTGTTCAGATATATCAAAAAATGTCATGATGATATGTTAAAACTATTAAAATTATATATATATATATTATATATGTCAAATGGGAAATTAAAGGTAAACATTTCTTTTTAAAAATTAAACCAAATTTAAGTATTTAAGTTTAGTGTACGTGTTATAGCATAGGGTTGACAATCCAATTCAAAATTGACAAATTTCGATTCGATTTGATCTTATAAATTTTTTTTTTTTAAATCAAATTTCGAATCAGATCAAGTATTATTAAAAAAAGATCGATGTCGGGTTGAGTTCGAATTTTAGATAAATTCGATTCAATTCGATATTATATAAAAAATTATTTTTTAATTTTATATATTTATATTTTAAAAAAATAATATTTTATTAATTTCGAGTGAGATCAGATACTGTCTATATAATATCGTATTCAAATTTAAATATGATTCGAATATAAAAAATAAAAAAATTTTAAATCAAATACAAATTTTATAATTATAAAATCAAATAAAATTTAAAACGAATAAAAATCCGTCTCAATCTCACCCATTATCAAACTTTAATATATATATATATATATATATATTTCAAATAATTAAATTTGAATTTTTTATTTTGAATATGAAAAATAAAATAATAATAACCTTAACGCGGAGAGTAGGGCTAATAATCAACGAAGGCTGCTACAATGACATCATCTGATATTGTATTATTATTATTATTATTATTATTCATAATGTGACCTCATTTTATACTTGCCTGGTACGATTTTAACAATAGGTTTAGGAATTGTACTTTAATTTGTTGATTCTGCATAATTGACCTAATAAAAAATTATTAACATACTAATTTCGTTGGGGTGGACGTAGGAAATTAATTAAGTTTGGTAAAAGCCGGCACCCCATAAGAGGGGTGGTGAACCGTTGAAGCCAAAAGCCTCAAAGATGTTGATATTTCATCATCATGTTCTTCCCCAAGGTTTTCTTTCTTCATTTTAAGTGTGAATTATTTCTATTTAGTTAATTAGTAATAATCCAACGAAGGGGACTTGTTGAACAGGAAAAATCTTCCTGCAAAATTAGTAACCAAGTATTTTCCATTTGGTGTGGTAAAAGTTTGGATATGCTCATCATTTTTAATGAACACAGGTTAACAGGTCCATAGATCGGATTATTCGTTTGATTTAAACTAGATGTTGGACAAAAATTTTTTGAGTTTAAATTTAATACGGTGTAAAATATTAAATTATTAATAAATAATTTAAGTTTAAATTAAAAATATATTTAAAATAATAATTATTCATATTTTAATAATTTTTAAAAATTTTGAATCTCTTAAAATTAATAAATAACACTTGATCTAACTCATGAACACCTTAATTAATGGAATTTCCCTTAAAATTGTTTGTTGAATTTTTTTTTTTGAGATATAATTTACTTCATACAAGAATTTAAATTTAAAAGAAAAAAACTTTTTAAGTATAAGATAAATTGAAGAAAATAAACTAAAAAAATATCTAAAAGATGAAAGTTAAGAACTAAAATTAATTGATAAATTCATAAAAATAAAACTCTCTGCATTCGTGTCAGCTGCACCATTTGACTTGTCCGAGGAAAACATTAAGTCAGCTTCATAGGTAGAAAAAAATTATCTTAAAAAAAAATTAAGAGGGATTGTCTTGTGCTGATGAATCATTTTTGAAAGGATTTATGTAAAAAAATAATGAGTTATATAAATTTTTTATTTGTGTGAGATGTAAGATTTTGACGTGTAAAACTTGAATTTGATTTTGATTTTAGAAATTAAAAAAATAGTTGTTAATTTATTTTTAAATTTATTTAACTAAAAAATATATTATTTATATAAAATCTTTTAAATTCGTAATCGTTAAAAATAAATTTTAGTGCCGCGTTAACTATTCAAAAGTCAGTCAGCTGCTTGTACTTTACTCGTCGGACTCAGCTTTGGATATGATATTTTTTCAACCGTGTCGATAATAGATTAGATGGTGTAGGCCAATAGGGTTCCTCAATTTCCGCCGAGAACAAGTCTAGTCTAGCTATCTTATCTCATCATAATCATCTCTATTCAAAAATCAACTTTTCTAGTAATATTTAGTTGGTCTATTAAGATAATTATGTTAATTAATAGGGTTAACAAATACAAAATGACCATCAATTTGGTCTTACAGTTAACAACCACCATTTTTATTGTTTATTTCAACTTGATTAGTATTATTTTTCTAATATGTAAGGAATCAATGATTAAAATTTCTTCATATCATCGATGGAAGGAACAGTGTTTGAAATTTTAAAAGATTCAAAACAAAACTAAGAACGTTTTGCATATATATATATATATATATATAATTAGGTTAGATTTGGACTTTAATTGGATTTTAGAACAGAAAAAAAAACACGTGTTTCACGTTCCTCTTTAATTGTGGAACCCTGTTCACGTATCGGGTCTCCATCGAAAAGAAAATGAGAATCTTTCATTTAATTAAGACGACTATTGCTTTTAATATTTTATCGATATAGATCGATTGCGACTTGTTTGACTATATTAGTTGTAACGCTCTTTCGTTTTATAAGTATTATTTTAATTTGGTTTTTTTAATTTAGTATTTATTATTTAAATATTTCCAATATTCTATATATTTGACAAATTTTTCATTAATTTCTTCTAGAAAGTAGTTTCCTTTTCAAGATTAATGAATTATAAATTTAAACTAAAAGGCATTATTATAAATTTAAAAATATATATTTCTTATTCTACTTGAATTAAAATTTTTTAATTTTTTAAATTAGAGTAAATTTATCATTATACTTCTAATTTTCAAGCAAATTTAATAAAAATATAACAGTAGAAAAATATTAAAAAATAATTTAAAAAACGACATGATATGAAAAAATAACAATGAAGCTAAAATTCGAAATTCTTTTTATTCTATTTTTTTCTTCTTTGATTATGGCATTTTTTTTATTTAATACAATACCATATCATATTTTTTTAAGAAGACATTTCTTGCAGTTTGACCTTTTTTTCCATTGCTATGTCATTTTTAAAATTCTTTTTTTCTGAATTATAAAACATATACCCTAAAAAATATTTTTTAACTGTTCCATTTTTACTAAATTTGATCCAAAATTAGAAGTCCTAAATTTTACTCTAAAATTATAAATATGATAATAAAATTACACCAATTAAAAAGTTAATAATAAATTTAAACTACTTTATCTCAAAATTTATGAAAAGAGACCCTGGCTGGCATAACTCCTTGCAGGATCTGTCCTTTTTGTTTTTTTGGGGTGCTGCAGCTACTAAATCTATGGCTACAATTGTGAGCCTAGAGGCTGAGTTCCTCTTCAGCCTTTAGGGCTTTAAAGTGTCTTTTGGGGCCTGAGGCCCTCGTTTTCTTTCCTTTTTTTTTCTTTTTATGTCCAATTTTCTTTGAAGTTTGCAACAGTGAAGAATAGTAAACAAATTAATTATAGGTTCCATCAAAAACCAACTTAATTATATTTATAGGTTAAATGAAAGATGAAAACAGTGACTATGCTTCCAAGACACCCAAAAAAAGTCAAATTTGGCCAACATTAACCATTGCTAGCCACTGTTTAATAAGATTATCCATCATGAATCATGATATTGCACTTCTTACACTAATAGAGACAGCTAACTGCAAAGAAAGGTGAGTGCCTACACCATTGGTGCAAAATTGCCTCACTTATGTCTCATGATCCTAAACATCTTGATTGAGCAAGATACTACACTCAAACAGCAAAATGCATAGATAACATCTTTATCGCATGTTACCTTCCTGCAAGACGTCAATCATATTGTATATTCGCTTGTCTGCCTTTGACTTAACCTGCAAGTGAACAACATCCATAATCAAACAGTGATAATAAGAGTATAAAACTATGGCAATGTTGCTATTAAGGCTCCCCTAGTCCCATCAAAACATTTGCAATCAGCATAACGAACTCTACAGAATACCAATTTTTCATTGGCTGGAACCCGTAAAGGAAAACTCTCCATACCCTTGAGCAGTATCTGCAATATAATCCCAACTTTTATTGGCTAAGAATGTGGCAGTTATCCCCCAAAGGCTATCTCATTATAAACAGTAAAAACATTCTGTTAAGCACTAGAATAGACTCAAACGGCAAGGGAAATATAAATAAAAGCACCTTCTTAGCAAGGAAAAGTACAGCATCAACAGTACCCTCAGCATATATCGATCTGCCACAAACATTATGCTGAAACTCAAATGACACTCTGCAGAAGTATTTGCAAAACGAGATCAACAAAAAATCATTAGATGTTTGCAAGTTTACCAAGATGTAGGTTATAGTTGAGAATGTCAGTCATTACGTTTGATCAGGTGATGTTAGATGATATAAATGAAAAGCATGACCATACAAATGCTCTTCTGGAACTCCTACCATCTCAATCTGCTGCTTGGGATCCCGGATCATTCGTATCTGAAAAAAGAAAAAGGAAACAAGAAAAAGCCTTAGGAATTTATGATGACAATTAAAAAGTGTGGCAGATGTATCATTATATGTCACTCTTACGAGCAATATCCGCCAACCTTCTCCTATTGCCCCTCTCTGCTTCTAACCAAATGAAAGAAAGGAACTTGGTCTCTCTGTCAGTCAATATTAAGAATATGTGAGAACAACGCACCTGATCCATGTCAAATGACACCCCCAATTTCTGAAAGCAAGAAATTACAGCCTTAGCAGTCCCAGAGGTGTCCAATTTGCTTGCTTGATGGGACTCCATCACCTAATGAAGATTAATGAAGATAAACAATGTAAAACCAATAGGGCTAATGATGCTATTGCTGACAAAAAAACTTATTACAAGCCAATATGCAAGAAAAAGGAAAGAAGACCAAAGAAAATTGGAAGCATATCACCTGCAATTCTTTTTACTACAACACTACAATTGACCAATCGCAATAAAAATTTTTGTAGGGGTTCACCACTTATAAGTCTAGAATCCACATCAAAATTTGATGGACCCAACATAATTCTAAATTGTGATTGGTTAATTGTACTACAGTCATTGTAGGTGAAATGGTCCCAAGAAAATTACTAACAGATTACGAGCCCAAGATAAGATTTTAAACTCCCTATTCTATGTACACACTAATGGATGTGAAATTCATATGCAACTATAAACTCCAAAAGTTACCAGATATGTTTTCATTGCTGCTTACAATGGTTCTTCAAAATATATCAAATATGATACTGCTTCAAATAGTTTCATTTTACAGCCTCAATTGTTTATAAATTATTATGCCATTGGTTATACCTTATCGACCTTGTTTAAAATATTGTTCTTTCAGGCAATTATAACACTCTCAGAACATTCTTTCAAAGCAACCTTACATAAAAAGTACCTGCAGAGAATATCCAGAGAAGGCCCCCGGAAATTGCTCAGCCATGACCTCCATGGCTGCAAGAAAGGCAACAACCTAATAAAAATGTCAGTATTAAGCAACAAAAAAAATCTATATTTCCAACTGTTAAAAGAAGAAATTCAACTAATTACGGGTTAGATGACCTGTTTCCCCATTTGTGGCGAGATCACAGCATAAACCTTGGACTCTTCAACAGTCTTATAGAGTTGATCCCTGTCTCCACCAGTGGTTCCCATCACAAAAGGCACTCCAACTTTGCAATATAGCTCAGCATTATCTATATTTTTCAAACACCCCCAACCCCCGAAAAATTTTAAAAAGTTAATAAATAGAGAGATCAAATCATAATGTTGAACTTGAATAGTTTGCATAAATTTATTTAACGAGGAATCATAACTTTTTTTAATGACGTAATTTAGAAAAAAGCAATCCAGTCATAGTGATTGATTATCACCACAGTATGGCTTCAGCTTCTAGAGGCATCATTCCTTGGACTATCAAAAATTTCTCACTCAAGTTTAGTTTGCTTTCTTTGTTCATTAAATATGAAATACGATAAAGGTTTATATGCATGGTCCTGAATAGGTTACCATTAACTGTGGCAGGCACAGTGAAGTCTACTACAACCAGGTTTGGATACTCCTGAAAGACGGAAGCAAGGATGCTTTCTCTTTCAGAAGGCCCATGACCCAGAATCTCTTTCCCACACATTTCAACAGTCAGCCCAGACTCCTTCTCTGCACCAAAAGAAACAGGAACAATATGAAGTCCAGCAGAATTTGCAGCTTTGATAATAGCCTTTCCCATTTTGCCAGTACAACCATTTACCTGTGACAGGCATAGGAACACCAAAAAAATGGATTGAAAGTTAAGCCATATTATCTGGTTACCTATCTTCCCATAAAAGGAATGTTCACAACTATTTACAAGAGTAACAAGGTAAAATTCAGAAAAGCGACCAAGCTGAGGAAGAAACATATAGAAACAAGAAATGATAATTGTCATTGACAAAAAGGTTGACAGCATATGTAGGATCAAACTGAGACTTAAACTGATATTAGTTATACACAGTTACACACTTACAGTTGAACCATAATACTCACCTTTAAGAACACAGCTAACAGATTAAACACCAATTAATATGATATCCTAGGAATGTTTGGTCACATTCTACTCGTAAGAAGACTCCTAATCACCAGAATCCAAAGAATAGCTAAAAAATTAACAAGAAAAAAGGGTAATAAACTTGATGTCGTTCCCAGTCCCTTCCCCTTAGCAAATGGTCATATTAAAATCGCTCAGCAAAGGGTGATTGAAGTAGATATGATCTTGCAAAATGTTACATGGACTCTTCACTTTGCACTAGCGTAACAAAATTTAACACTTCTTAAACACTTTGAATTCATACGAGTCTGATGCTTAGATCCTCGAAATTGATATTTACAAATTGTCAAAAAAAAAATGCCGGTGTCGGACAGCATAAAACAGTACAGGCGACAAAGATGTTGTACGGTTAAAGTTTGTTGATTAAATGCACACAAGATCAAAATGTCTACACGGAAGAAGACCCTCCTTTGCCCTTGATAAATTTATTTCCCAGAAAAAGAAAAATTCATGAATCAATTCTAGTGACAATTTACTCTAACTAAACTCCGGATTATGATTAAAAAAAAAATAGCAACATATACCTCACAGAATCAATCCAACTCAAGAGCATTTACGGAAAAAATAAAAACTTTTTCTTTTTAACATAAAAAAGAAAAATGGGTACCATGATTGGGATGGCGATGTCTGATGAATTAGATTTCTGGTCATGTTCAACGGCTCCGGTTGACATAGATGAGGAAAATGCGACTGGGACCAAACGAAAAGCTGCTCTCTTTGGAAGAATACATTGTCTTGTCTTGCCTCTACACAAGAACGGTAGCTTCTCAGACCGAAATACATTGGAAGAGGCTTCAAGAAGGGAAGCCATTTTTGAACTATAAAAAAATTAAGGAAAAGTAGAAAATGAAGCTTATTTGATTACATAAGATGTTAAAGTTTCTTAACTCAGCAGAAGCAAGACGGGAGGAAGGGTTTAGGGTTTATGATGAACCAGAAATTAAAACTTTAATTAGTAAGGTTGGGTTACCCAGTGTCAGAAAATAAAATTAATTTATATACTTTTAATATTTACAAAAAAGTAATAAATAAATAAATGACCCTCTTAATCACATATAGAATGAATGAAATTAAAAAAAAAAAAAAAAAACTATTGAATAAAAGATAATATATTTTATAACCCTTTCTAGTGTGAGATACATAAATTTCTTTTCTTTGTTTATAATTACTTATTTTTTCTATTTAATTATTTTTTAATATATATTAAGAATAATAAATCTATCCCAAAACTCGTAAAAAATGAGAAAAGCCTTCAAAATTACTAGTAGAAGTCATAACATTTGTAAGGGTCAATACAAAAGGTAAGAATTCCCCACGTAACCCATCAGATGTTGAGTTTTGATTAAGCATAAAAAATTTGGTTTGATAATCTAAATGCTTACGTTTGTCTATTTTAACATGAAATTTATGTATTTGTGTTGTATATAAAAACTGTCCTGTTCATAAAAGAAAAACACTCAAGAGGACTAAAACTTTTGCTATGAAATGATGAGCTGCCACTGGGTTCCATTGTTGTGGTAAGTTGACCTCCGGTGAAGGAAATGACTGGAGCCATGGCTGGCCAAATGAAAGCGGGCTTCTCAGTAGGCACAGCTGGTGCAGCTACTTAACCTGTAAGAACCTGCAAAGCAGTTCTCGTAGAGGGCCTCTCATTCGGGTTTGGATGGCAACAGGCCAGCCCCTATGTATACACTGTGCTTCATCCTCATCGAAATCCTTGTTTATTCGAAGATCTATGGCATCAGTTAGTAGTTGTTTTGCTCATTTTGATGTCCTGGTTTTCTCCACAGACAACTTCCAGTATTATGCATAGATATCAGTTTCAACAGTTGCCTTACCGGTATGGAAACTCTCTGGAGCCATATACCCTGGTATTCCTGCAATCCACAAAAACGTCCTCCGGAAGATTTTTAGAAAGATGAAGCTCCACAGTGAAAATAAGATTTCTCAAGTTCTGTTCACTTGGTCTAGTTAACGAGACAAAAACAGTCATTTTATCAGATTTTCCATCATACAGGATGCTGGCTGTGATATCTTCACTACGTGAAAGATTAACATAATGGCCTGCTAATGGTTCTTGCTTGAAGGAATAGAATTTTTCACATCTACTCCAGAACGGTTATCATCTACATCCTCTGAATCACTCTTTCTGGTATCCAATTCCCGAGCCATTGACCTGCACCGTTGGTTGCGACCATTAATATGAAGGCTGACAACTTGATGCCTCTAAGCTTGTCCCATAGTTTAAGTGGTTCCTTATACAGTATCCTTCCCGATGCATCCATGATAACATAACTCACTTGAATGAGGAATTAAGACTAACAAAATCTTTGCTGGATGATGGATACGTGAAATTCAAGAATTGAACCTGTATAAGGTTCTGCTACAATCACTATTACTTGCACTAGCAGCTTAGCAGCTAGGAAGAAATGCATAAATTTGGGGTGAGAGAACAGGTCACGAATTGGCAATAGATTTTTGAACTGTTGCTTGTAGTACAATCTGAACATTGAAATATCTGCAGTCATGGAAAGAAAAGATTTATTTTAATAAATATTCAGATTAAACATAAACAATTAAAAATAAGGACAAGTGGAGTATTTGTAATTCCTTGTATCTTGGTGAAAACTTCTGTGTATACAAGGTCCGCTTCAGATGCAGTGGTGCACATTGAAGAAATCCAGGTCAACATCACATAATAAATTATAAAAAATTAAAAAGAAAAAAGCTGGCTTCTACTGTTTTATTGCTATTCCAGCAGCCAAGACTGACTGGAATGTTGTTTTTTGGTTCACAAATCACAATTTTTCCACTCCTTTTCTCCTATCAAATACCAGTCAAATCCCAACTCATGATTGAAGGATAGGCGATTAAGGCCAAAGGCCATGTAAATAGCGTTAGTCAATAACTATGTGTATGAAAAAAGTCATGCTTCGTTTTACCTTTTTGAATATAACTTATGAGTTGTGTCTGATCTTATTTATTTAATGAATCTTTGCTGCATCATTCAACATGTCATAAATTTCTTTTCACTTTTATTTCATAGTGCCTACTGACTATGACAAAAGATAGTTTGATACTCTCAGCAGGATGACCTTAAGGAAATCAAAAGAAAAAAAATAAAAACAATACACTCTATAAATATAATGTTAGTATCAAATTTTTGGAATGTAATCATAGAGATCCTAATCGGTTCAGATCTAAGTCCATTTGGACTTGATTTAATAGGGTTCAGGCCTAAACTCAGATTAATGAAATTTGACTCAATAAGATCTAGTTAATAGACCCAATTAACTTTTTATTTTATTTTATAATTTTATGATTTTTTATCTATCTTTGATTTTTTTTAGTTGATTTATCTTTTCTTTTATTGGATTTATCATTAGTTTTTAACATATTTAATAAAATAAATAAAAAATATCTTTGGCCGGTGGTTGTAGAGTTCCTATGGGTTTTAATTTGAAGTGGGATAATTCTTAAAGTTCTTGATAATATGAAAACCCAATCGAATGAGGATTTTTATCTGATCAGAAACTCTTATGATTTGATCCTATAAATCACCAAACACACGAGACAGAGAGATCACAGAGAACAAAAAAAGACACACACTGAGAGAAAATTAGAAGCAAAAAAGAGAACAGATAAATAAGAAACACAAGAAGCAGAAGGAAAAAAAATTTTGAAGTTTTGTTAAAGAGAAGAAAAATTTTTTTGAAATTTTTTTGGAAAATTTTTAAATTTCGATGAAATTTTTCGACGAGTTTTTCAGTGTCGGTTGAATTTTCCAACAGTTTTCCCAGCATCCGACCCAGATTTCAACGTCGATTGAATATTTCGACGACATTCCGATGAACTAACCCAGATTTCGATAACATTTTTCAGAATCCAACAAAGATTCAATCAGAATTCATCATGTTCTAGAGAGAGAAGGAGAGAAAAGAAGAGGAAGAGAAAGAAGAGGAATGAGAGATCTGAAATAGAGGGCTAAAACTTGAGCTTTTATAACCTCCTCAAAACGATATCGTTTTTACGTTTAAAAGAGTCCAAGATCCGAACGTTTTCACCTAGGGCGACCTGACCCGTAGCACGACCCGTTTCAACCCGTTCCACAGACCTTGCTGTTAAGTCGAGTCAAGTCAAGCCGAGCCAATTTTTCGTCGAGCCGCACCTTTAAGTCATTTTTCGTGTCTGGAGTTAACCCGCGTAACTCTTGAGCTAAGCCGTTTCGATTTTTTTGATATTTTTTATTTTATTTATGTGTTTGTTTATTTTTAAGAGTATTTTTGCATGAATAAATTTTTAAAAAATTGGAAAAAAAATATAAAATAAAATTTTTAAAAAGCATTTTTGAGAAAAAATTGAAAGTATCAATTTTTCTTGAAAATAAAATTTTAAAAAAATATTTTAAGAAAAAGTTTAAAGTATCAATTTTTTTGAAAAATAAAATTTCTAAAAAATATTTTTGAAAAAAGTTGAAAGTATCAATTTTCTTTAAAAATAAAAAACCTCAAAATGCTTTAAGAAAAAGTTAAAAGTATCAATTTTTCTTATCTAAAAGCATGAGTTTTTTTATAAAACAAACAAAAAAAAAAGATCTATATCAATCATCACTTCTTACTCATTTTATTTTTTTTTTCAAAAAATTTTTTACTGTTAAATAATCCAACGATAGAGCTTCTGCAAGTGAAACAGTATTTTTCTTGTATACTCTTGAAGTGAGAAAATTTTTTTAATTTTTTGTCAAAAGTATTGGAGTCAATTAAAGATAATTTTTAATAATTAAATACTTGATAAAATTTTTAAGGCCTAATGGATAACACGAAATTGAGCTGGTACCATCTTTCGATGGGCATTGTGAAGGTGTTGTAACATTTCTCACTTGTAACCGAACTCTTGAATCCTATTCTGGTTAATAGACCCAAACATATTCTTTTAAGGACCCTTAGTCAAGCTTAGGTGTTCCTTGAAAGGATAGATTCCTTAGGTGATCAATCACACCTAAATAAAAAAGATTGGTAGCAACTCTTCAAATCAATGTTAGTGATAGATCTCCGGATCTATATGTTATGACAGTTTAACAACTCCGCTGGAAACAAGTCAAGAGTCAAGCCAGCAAATAAATATGTGTTATCCAAAAGTCTAATAAAATTGATTTTTTTTGTAAAGATTTTTATGCATTCATTTTGTTTATTTGTTTGATAATTATGTCATTCATATGTATGTGCATGACATGAGTTCTATATCCGAACTCTGTCCCTCTAAAAGGAATAAAGTACATATACTTTCGTGAGATTTTAATACCTCCGTAGTGGCTAGCGAAATACTCCCACTCAAATTAAACATTTCGCTTACAACCTGTAATGGGTAAGAATTGAGGTGCCTTACTAGTTTGTGACGGACAATGATGTAAGGAGCAATTTGAGAACCTTTAGACTTTAGCTTTGAACCACATATAGTGAACCTTAGAAATGCCTAACCCTAAGATTGAGCATTTCCTACCCAATGATAGATATACCTCGAAACTATGACACAAAAAAGAATAAGTTATGTTGATCTAACCGTTTTGATTGTTTGACTTTGTGCATTTGCATTATCATGTCATGTATAATTTTTATTGTCATATGTAACATTATGCATCTACATCATTTTCATATTAGATTTCATCCATGAAAATATACATTTCATTCGTGCATCAACATATCATACATAAAGCACAGCATGTATTTTTAATCATAATTATGGTACTAAAGGTTCAAGAATAGCTCCATCAAGCAATCTCATCCACCAATACAATACAAGAACTCGAGCCAGACAAATGGAACAAAAAAATTTTAATCATCTCGAGAGGATGGAAAAAGCTCAATAAAAGTTAGAAGAAGAGTTAGTAAGATTTTGGAGGCCTTGAACAAGTTAAATAAAGGAAATAGTGTATAGGAGAATACCAGCCAACAAGACCATCC